TGTCCTGTTTCTGCCACTACCTCTGACGATGGACTCCTGTACGAGTCTGAATGCTCAGGATAATAAACGAATTGTTCCGGTGCTCGATTCTTCTTCTTCTTCAAATATCAACAGGATACACAGTCCGAACACAACGACGAACGCCAACACCATCACCGACGACACCAGAAGTGAGGACCAGGACTACACCTGTCCCCACTGCGACCGCACCTTCACCTCACACATTGGCTTGGTCGGTCACTTACTAATCCATCGTATAGAGACTGACGAGCCAGTGCCTGAATCACCAACCTACACCCGCCGCATCCGCCTCCACCATCCACACTGCCCTCGCAGATTCATTCATCGCATAAGCCTAGTCGCCACATGCCCATCCACGAAAACCTGCGATAGACCACCGCCGGCTGCACCACGCCATCACATCCTCCCTCACCAACATCTCACCACACATCAACACCACCCACCGCAAGCATCCATTTGACACCTCCTGCACAAGCGGGAAGTGTGTGTCCCAACTCGATCTCTGTGCGGCTCCTGTTGCATTGGTGAATCGAGTCTGAGACTATTCCGGCGCGTCAAGCGCCTCGGATTGGAAGGCTGCTGACCGACGCCCCAGCTCGGTCCATGCAGTCTGTCCAGTTGTGTGGGTGTTTGTATGGAGTGGCGGACTTGTGGGCCGAGAGCCGGGCTGAAACAGCTCCTTTCACAGCACTCTCACGCATGTGAGAGGTACGCCGCTCGACCTCCCGTTGCGTGGAATCGGGGATCTTGTGTTTGGAGGCCAGGTCGTGCATGCGGTGCGCGCAGACAAGGTCCCTCAACCATGTCAGCCACCGCACCCATTCCTCGCTGTAGTACACTGACCGACCCGGACAGCGGCTGTGGTATGAGAATGGGAAGGGAGAGTGAGGTCGACGACTGAGCTCATTTTCCTCATTATAAACAATCCGACGCGCTTGAAGCCATCACGGTGCGCCAAAAGCCGTGGCTTGGAAGGTTGCCAACTGACGGGATAACTTGGACCTCGCAGTCGGCCCAGTGCTACGTGTTTGTGTGGAGTGGCCGGCTGGTAGTCTGATAGTCAGGCTACAATGGCTCCTTCTCAATGTGGCCTTTGTGGCACTCCCACTAAGTGGGGTCCGATCTGGCTGTGGCGGCATGCCAAGGTGCGGCTTCGGTCGTGCCAGCCTCCATTCTCTTTGTTATTGGTGAAAAGTCAGGTTATTTGTTGTGTGGACCAGGGGTGTGGAGCGGAACGCCAAGGTGCGGGCTCGACCGCGCCACCCACCCGCACCCTCCCCGAGCCCGGTTTTCTTGACTCTGTCTTGACACCGGGTGCAGGTGGAGGAGGAGGAGGAGGAGGAGGAGGAGGAGGAGGGAGTGCGGTAGATGCTGCAAGTCTGCCCAAGTCCACAAGTCCACTCTCACCATGAATTTATTCACGCGCAAGTCACGGTGCCTGCTTCACCTTGCGGTGGAGCACACGGTGGACGTCGTCAGATACGACGGGTCAAACTGTCAGAAGACACACAAAGCCCAAAGAAGGCCACTGAAGTCTTTCGAATCTAAATTGTCCAGGAATGCGTCGATCTCCGAAGAGCAGTGTTGGCTAAAATATATGAAGTTCAATACTGCTTGTGGTTCGACATAAGACTTCGCAAACTATGCTAGGTCTGAATAAGTTTATGCAAGCTTTTCAGTCATATTATATACTGGGATAGCTACAACCCACTAAATCGCCTGGTCCAGATGGCATATCGGCAAAAGTTCTGAAAGAACTCGCAGACCAACTAGCCTCCCCGCTCTCCAAGATCTTCCAATGTCCAATGAAGGCGGGGGTTCTGCCTATTGACTGGAAGCTTACCAACATAAGCCCCGTATAAAAAGAGGGGGGAAAACCCCGGCAAATAGCTTCAGACCGGAGAGTCTCACAACCATCTATTGCAAATTAATGAAGAAAATAATAAAAAAGGGGACTGATGTGGCATATTGGGGAGAACGACTTGCTTTATGCATATCAGCACTGATTTAGATGTGGTCGATCCGGTCTCGCCAACCTGCTTACATCAATGGAAAGCTGGACGAGATCCTTAGAGGTGGCTTTGTTAGTAGATGCAGTCTATACTGACTTCAGCAAAGCCTTTCACAGGGTGCCACGTAGACGGCTGATACCTAAACTGCACCAAATGGGTGTGACTGGTAACCTACTTAAGTAGTTAACCGATTTATTCACAGGCCGACGGCAGCGTGTGTGCATTGATGACGCCAAATCGGAGTGGGAAACCGTTTACAGTCTGCTTCCGCGGAGGAGCATTCTGGGTCTCATTCTGCTCTGAACGATCGCGAGATGGTAATGTTCGCTTGGGGTCTGAGGATGTTGAGTTCACTTGAAAATCCAGATGACGCGTTCAACTTGCAAAACAACTAAAATCGAGTGCAACAGGGTTGTGACGAGTGGCCTTTCAACCTCAGTTTAAACAAATACCAATTGATCCGACTGAGGTGTAGTTATAGAAAGGATTTGAGATTTGAACATCACCAATAGATGTGAACAGGCGAACTACAGGAAGTAGTTCAGATGAAGATGCGATCGCTGGAACAAGAAGTTTATTGGCCTGACATTCCAGATTCTCACTCAAACCCAGCATCAGAGACATTTGCAGATAAAGGTAGCGAAGGCAGCAAGACTGCAGTTTTCATAGAACGTAGTTGCCGTGGGGCCACATGGGTACTATAATATACAGCTCTCGCGGTCATCGCTGGGGGTCGTGATTGAAGCGATGATGGTTCGTCAATCCGGACCCGACTTGTTAGTTGCCGCAATTTCTTCATGCGTGTTAGATGTTGGCGCGAGGATTGCTCGGCAGTCTGGCCCACTGTCACTGGAATAGTTGAGCGCCCCGCCCTCCCATGCGACTGGTTTCCCTGCTAAGGGAATGTCTCAGCATCGAATATGATACCGGGAGAACATTGAGCTCGTTGATATATTGCGGGCCTGAAAACCATGATTCGCGCAGTTCGCGGCTCACGCGGCTGTCAGCTCTTGCAAGGATTTCGGCCTCCTGAAACTTGAAAATATGGCCGGACTCCGTAGAATGGGCCATCACCTGAAGGCTAGAGTCCTTCCTCCTCACCGCTGTTGCGTGCTCAACCATCAGCGTATGGAGTAATCTCCCGGTTTCTCCGACGTAGTTGCTCTGTCCGCAACTGCACCAGAGCCGATAAACGACTCCTGACGTTTCCTGCCGTGGCGGCGTGTCTTCCGGCTTCATGACTTGAAGGCTGATGGCTGCTTCCGGCCTGTGTGCAACCCCAACTCCAAGTGGAGTGAGAAGGCGGCTGACGACATCCGAGACGTTCCCACGTACGAAAGAGCTCGCCAAAATTTAGGGCCGGTTGGATTTGGTCTCTGGTCCCGTTTGCGTACGTGCTGGGTGACAAAGTTGCGCGGATGACCATTGGATCTCAGTACCCGTTGAGGATATTATAATTCAGCAACCTTGTCATCCGTTTCACTGCAATGCGTCTCAAAGCACCGGTACAGCGCCCTTACGCAACTACATTTGTGACCGATCGGGTGGTTACTGTTGAAATTCAGTACTCGCGTCGTGTTTGTCGCTTTTTCGGACACTTTGGGTTTTAGACCACCACAACCTTTGCGGCAAACGAGGACATCCAGAAATATCAACTTGTTGTTTTTTTCCTCCTCCATCGTAAACTGACTGTCCGGGAAGACGGCGTTGAGACGTTATTTGAATGTCTGCACCTGATCCCGTTCGATTACGACGAAGGTATCATTCACATATCGAGCCCACAATTTCGATCTGTGGTGTCGGAAAACCAGCGAATCTAATCTTTGTAGGATCGCCTCAGCCATGAGTCCTGAAATTGGCGAACCCATTGACGTGCCCTTTGCTTATTCGTAGATTGTTCTGTCGAACCTAAAGTACGTCTTCAGACAGAACTTCGGGAGTCGGATGATCTGGGCGTGTCCGAGGCGATTCGTCGTTTCATTGTATTTCCCTCATAGGAGTAGTTTGATGGCCTCGACTGCCTGGTCCTGTGGAATAGAAGTAAAAAGGGACGTGACATCAAAGGATACCATGACGTCGCTTGGCATGATGCTTACCCCTTTTAGCTTCTCCAAA